CCATTGCCACCACCACCACTGCTACCGCCTTTCACTACCACCACCACCACCGTTGCAGCCCTACACTACCACTGCCGTCTTCCACCACCGCCACCGCAGCCGCCTTCCACAATCCCCAACACCGCCACCATCGCCTTCTACCACCTTCCACCATCGCTACCGCCATCACCTTTCACCACCACCACCTCCACCGCCACCATTGCCGCCGCCTTCCACCACCACCACTATCGTCACCACCTTCCACCACCACCACCGCCACCACTTCCATTACCTTCTACCACCATCATAGTCACACCACTATCTCCTTTCACCACAACTACCACACTACTGCCACCGCCTTCCACCAACACCAATGCTACCTTCATTATATATATATATATATATATATATCTTAATTTGGTTTAATCTTATTTGATTATTTAAAATATATATAAACAAAATTAATTGCTAATTAACTCGCAAGCTAATTAAACAAATTACATATCACAAAAAATAATTAATAGAAGACGAAGAGCAAGTTTGCCGTATAGTTTATTATTCTATGATTGTATATATATTTTTAAATGTTACCAAAGTCACTTACGAAATACAGAAGTGTTATAAAAAATTTTAAAAATCATAATATTTATATGTATAATATTGTGGTGACACATGATATGATCGATCATGTGAGTCTAAGAAAAATTCAAAGTCTCAAACACATTGCCACGTTACTCAACAATCCTATAATTTTGTTTTTAGTTATTTTCTACTCGAGATTGACGTGTTACAAAGTCTGCCCATGATACTAAAGTCAACATTTTTTAAGATACGCCAACACATAATTATATGGAATATTCTTTAGAATTAATTAATATTATATTGATGGGCACTCTAAATTATTTACTTATAATTTTATTGGGCGGAGAATATGTCAGGATATGGGGTTTGCACAGCTGATCAAAAGTTTACTTTAAAAAAATAAAAGAATTAAAAAAATATTATATTGCATATTAAATTTATAACTAAAATAAAAAATTAAAAAATCAGAAGGATAATAATGTAAAAAATCAAGAATTGTGCCTAATCTCACTAGACACAAACAAAATATTCAGAATAAAATAATATGTGTGATTTGCGGATGATTACACATATTCGAGATTTATCTTGCAGTTATAATTTTAAAAGATTCGGTAGTTTGAAGGACGTACTATTTTTTCAAAAATAAAAGAAAAAATTACAACTTAAAAAATATAAAAGGATAATAATATAGCACGTCTCATTAATTTTAAAAACAATAGAAGATTATTACTATTCAATCTTATTTTTCAAGTCCAGGAGTATAATCGAATTTTTATTTATTTAATGAAGTGAATAGGACCAATGTTCATCTCATCCACTCCATCAACATTGTTATCACTTTGTTCTTTCTCAATCAAAATCTGATCATTTGTCCAAAAAAATAATAATAATAATAATTATGATTATAATTTCACATTTTAACCTAATCTCTTATTTTATTTTATTATTTTTGGTAAATGAATTTTATTAAAGAACACAAAAACTATACCAGAAGCAGGGCCACAAGAATCAGAAGAAAGAATTGGAAGGGCCTAAGCCCATGCAAGGGGCACAGGAGCATGGTACACCAATAGACCAGGATAACACACAAACAGGCCCAACAGGCCCAAAAGGGCCAAAATATCCCACAGAGATAACCAACCAAGGCCCAAATAGACCCAAGTCACATACACACCACAATGCATATTTATTTTTCATTTTTTTCAAACCTTATACTAATATGATATGAGATAATTTATATATTTCATAATCTTTTTGTTTTTTGTAATGAATTAGTTGGTCTTTTACATATGAATCCCGTTTGTTTAAATGTTTAGTTTGAACTGTACGACGTTGATCGATTCTATTTAATCATTTTTGTGGTATTAATCTAGATCATTTAATCCGAAAGAAATCGTATTGATAATGACCTCTTAACCAAATTTTCCATTGACTCATTACAAAATTCCAATGTTTCTTACCTTGTGTTCTAGAATAATCCTTTATTGTTGTGTTCTTAAGAGAAAAAGATGTTCCGAATATATCTTAATTTATACAAGTTAATAACTTGGGTTTGGGATCATTTGTAAAATGCATATGCTTGTGAGTTGTGACAAGGAGGATAAGTCACAAAAATCTGTGAATTTTTATTATTATTACTAATATTATAAAGCAATTTTTTTATAGTTTGGAATTGAGAAAATTTTAAAGCAAATTTAAATTTTGAACTAAACTCATCTCAATTCCAAATTCAAGGAATGGCTTCTATGCAATAGCATCCAAAGATAACATTAATATATATTTATAATTTCTTAACATATTTTCTAATTACTTCCTACTAGGTTAGTTTAGATAAATCGAGTTGTCTCTTTCTAATTAATTACTAATTAGCAGTCTATAGGTGTTTATGTTGTATAATTTTTACTTTTTCTTATGTCAATTATTAATAATTTTTCCTATATTATTCAAATAATGTATCTTAGTATTCTTTCACAACCACTCGTATTGGAGAACATTAAATTTTATTTTAAAATCGATTGAAATCGTAAAATTAAAGAAACTTAACCAAATCGAATCATGAAGGAATAGTTCAGTTTTATAATTTTGGACTTATTTATAGTTCAATCCAATATATATATATATATATATATATATATATATATATATATATATCTATAAAAATTACTCCAGCTTTTTAGTCACTCAATTATGTTATAAACTTATAATTATTTATCATAAAATATTACGTCATATATATTACTAATATTATATATATAACGGCCCAACCCAATAATTTTTATTGTTGTGGCATGTGAGTAGTCTAGGAAAAATTCAAAGCCTCGCGTTGTTTGTTATTTTCTATTCGAGATTGAATATTATAAGGTGTGCCCATGTTCCTAAAGTCAACATTTTTTAAGATACGCAACACATAGTTATACGGAATATTCTTTAGATTTAATTTATATTAAATTGATGGGTGCTCCAAATTATTCACTTATAATTTTCTTGGGTGGAGAAGATGTGAGGATATGGGGCTGCACAGCTGATCAAAAGTTTACTTTAAAAAAAGCTGACTATATTGCATTTTCAATCTATAACTAAAATAAAAAAATCATAAGGATAATAATGTAAAAAATCAAGAATTGTGCCTAATCTCACTAGACACAAACAACATCCAGATTAAAATGATATGGGTGATTTGCGGATGATTGCACATATTCGAGATTTATCTTACAACTATAAATTCAAAGGATCAGTAGTTGGAAAGCTATTCTGTTTTCTCAAAAAATATATATATATATAAAACTAAAAAAATAAAAAAGGATAATAATAGAGCACGATTTTTAAAAAAATAATAGAAAATTAATACTATTTAGTCTTATTTTTCAAGTCGTGCAATCGGGTTTTTATTTATTTAATGAAGTAAATAGGACCAATGCTGATCTCATCCACTCCATCAACATTGTTATCACTTTGTTCTTTCTCAATCAAAATCTGATCATTTGTCCCCTAAAAAAAAATTTATGATTATAATTTCCCATTTTAACCTAATCTCTTATTTTATTTTATTATTTTTGGTAAATAAATTTTATTAAAGAACACAAAAACTATACCAGAAGCAATGCCGCAATAACCAGAAGAAAGAATTGGCACAAGGGCACACGAGCATGGCCCACCAATAGACCCGGAGAACACACAAACAGGCCCAAAAGGTCCAAAACACTCACAGAGACAACCAAAGCCCAAATAGACATTATAAGCATATCTCATGTGGACACATATTAAGGAATTCAAACAATTCGTGGAGGACTGTGAACTCACCCACCTTCGTTTTCAAGGTTATTCTTTTACCCGGCGCAACAACCGTGAATCGGGTAAGCTTATTTTGGCAAGATTGGATCGTGTTCTCTGTACTTCTCAATGGTTCCGTTCCTTCCCCAGGTGCATGCTTCATCATCTCACAGTCCAAGGATTCGACCATACTGCCATTTTGTTATGTCTTAATGATGCCATCTCTCATTCTCGGTGAAATTTTTAGTTCGATGCTTGGTGGGTCAAAGAAGATGAGTTCAAACCCATTATTGAAAAAGCTTGGCAGTCTCCGTTTTCTGCCTTCCTATGTAGGGCCTTCAACACAAATTAACTCAATGGAAGTCTCATTTAAAGTTTTGGAGACGTGGTAAATGTGACAATTCACAAGCCAAAATTACAGCTCTGGAAAGTAATTTAAAGATTCTGAAAGAACAAGAAGCAGAGTTTGACAAAGCTGAATGTTTCAAGCTAGAAAAAGGAACTGGGTAATGCTTGGAGGGATGAGGAAGTCTTCTAGATGCAGATATCCAGAATCGCTTGGTTGAAACAGGGCGATAAGAACACTAATTTTTTTCACAGAAAAGCGCAAATTCGGCGGAGGAAAAATGAAATTATTGGCTTGGAAAATTCTAGAGGTGAGTGACGAGATTCTAAATATGACATCCGTAAGGTTGCGGAAGATTATTTCAATCATCTCTACTCTTCATCTCCCGATCATGATGATCTTCAATTTTGGGATTTGGTTTGCCCTAGAGTTACGCAGGAAATGAATAATGACTTATTGAAAGACGATATGGTGGAAGAACTTCGATTAGCTCTTGCAAGTATGGGTCCTTTCAAAGCTCCAGGTCCGGACGGTTTCACTCCTCTCTTTTTCGAGTGAATATTGGGTACCCCAAGGTTACCCCGTCAGCATGCCAACATGCTATCCCCGTCCAATAAAAGCATGACACTTTTCCAACTTTCCACGTCAGCTCTTAACGGAGAAAAAGTTAACTCCGTCTATTTTCTTTTGTTAAAAAAAAAAAAAAAAAACTTATTTCAAATTTCAAATTTCAAAATAAACATTGAAATCCATTCCACCTTCTCTCTCTCCTCGTTGCCCTAACTAGATCATAACGTGTTTGCTCGAATCTACAATCGAGACCCTAGCGACGGCCGTGACGTATTCTCTTTGACCTCCGGCGTCGAGCTCGACGACCACCGGGATGATCCCCTGCGCCATCGCAATCAACACATTCTTGTCGTCCTCCTGAATCAACCCCAGCAGTGAGTCCAACGCCGAGTTCTTCGACTCGGTGCTCCCAATCTGCAATCGAGTTATCAACTTCCGAGCCTCGACTCGTACGGACTCCTTCTTCAACGTCGACGACGACCTCAGAACGACTCCCAATCTGCAACCGAGTTATCAAGTTCCGAGCCTCGACTCGATCGGACTCCCTCTTCGACGACCTCAGAACGGCGTCGTCGTGTAGCACCCCGCTCTTGATCAAAACGCCGAAGTCTCTGATCTGCCGGTCCAGCTTCACCGAGACCGAATCGACGTCGTTCTGCGTCTTAAGCTTGCCGCCGAGGAGGGTCTAATTTCGACAGGCTTTAGAGAGGGAAAGTGCGTCGGAGAGAGTATCGGAGACAGAATAGAACAGTTCTAGAGAGAGAGTTGGGAGGTGAATCGGCGAGGTCGGCGAGGTCGGCGAGTTGAGTCTTGAGATCGGCGAGTTGTGTTTTGATCAGAGACCACTTGCCTCTGAAGTTCTGTGTGTTGTATCGAGTCCAGTAATGATTGAAAAAGCTGATTCGAAAGGTCAATGTGTTCATTTTCTGGTTCTTTCATAGCGGATTGCGGTCTAAGAATATTGGGATTTCAACAGATATGTAAACATTGCAGCAGCACCTTTTGTTACCATCTCGCGTGTTTAATTGCAGGATCTGATGATCAGTCTTACACAAATATTTTTTTCTTCCAGATAGCGTTCATATTTATTATTTTTTTTTTTATTTTTTTTTTTAACTTTAATTTACGAACATTTTTTTTTTTTTTTTAATTTCTGAAAATTACTATATATTGACATAATTGATCACTGAAAACATAAGTAAATGCATGTCAGTATTCACATAATTGAGGTTTGCCCACAGTTCATGCGTTTTATTGGTGGGCTTTGGGAAATTTGGATATCATGGGTATTAGCAGCAGGATGGTTTTCTGATGTATAGTTAAGAGGTTGATTGTTTAGTATGATTCTTTGCCGCTGCAGTCGCGTTCTTGCTTGGATAGTATGATTGAGACTATATTTGGTATGCTTATAGGAGAATGGGTCTGTGCCTATCGGTGTTTATATTTTTGCTTGGATAGTATGGTCGTTCTTGGCTTTGGTTCAATGCCAATCTGTTGCGGATTTGCTGCACTCTTCTTCTGTGGTTTATGTTGCCTTGTGCGCTCTCTGAATTTCTATGTGGCTGTGATTTTGCTTTTGATGGAGATGGGCATTTGGTTTGCTTTTGGAGAATGGGTTCTTTGCCCATCTGTTGTTGCTTCATTTTTGGGGTCTATCTGCCTTGTGAATGCATTGCTGGTGTGGGGTGGTGTCTTGTGATAGCCGGGGGTTTTTGAATTGGTTCAATCTCTTTGGGAAGCTTGGATTTATTGTGGAATGTGAAGTTTTTTTTTTTTTTCCCTGCACTCTGTGTTTGTGCCTTGCGTAGGCTGTGTTTTACTACTTTATGAATGTATTCTAAAGGTTCTCATAGTGTGTTGTGTTTTGGCAAAGGTATCCTCATTGTTGGTTTCTTTCTTTGCCTTCTATGTTTCTCAGGCGAGGGTATGCCCTCGGATCTCCCCTGTATTATATTATTTCATTTTATATGAGGCTAATCTTGTTTGATTTTCTTAAAATTGTTAGCCCTGATGTTATACTTAAAATAGTTGGATTTTTTTATAAACACAACTAAATTTTGTTGTGATTTAAGTTCTGCAAAACCATAGTGTGTCCCAGATCCTCAATGATTGATATTAATAGAGCATGAGACATTACATTTCTATACTTAACAACACTGTTTACACTAAAAATTTAAGTCCTGCAATTGTAATTAACAACCTATTAACAACCTCCTATTACAAAAATCCTTTCCTCAACAAAAATTAAACAGTGTTGTAGAACTATTTAAGAACCTATAGAATACATCCCTAAAGCAGTAAAACACAGCCTACACAAGGCACAAACACAGAGTGCAGAAAACAGAAGAAAAAAAAAAAATACTGCATACTCCACAATAAATCCAAGCTTCTCAAATAAATTGAACCAATTCAAAAACCCTCAGCTCTCACAAGACACCACCCAACACTAGCAAAGTGAAACAACAACAGAAGAAGAATGCAACAAATCTGCAACAGAAGTCCTGGTGTTGTACTTAAAATTGTTGGATTTTTTTATAAACACAACTAAATTTTTTTGTGATTTAAGTTGTGCAAAACCATGGTGTGTCCCAAATCCTCAATGATTGATATCAACAGAGCATGAAAACTTAAAAGACATTACATTCCTATACTTAACACTGTTTACACTGAAATTTTAAGTCCTGCTATTATAATTAACAACATGTTTATACTAGAAACAACTTGCTATTACAAAAATCCTCTTCTCAACAACAAATGACATTAACATTCAAAATATCCTCTTCCGGTCTTGGCTGCTCCACAACCTCTGCAAATCACTTGCTTGCATCAAGATCATTCCTATAAGCATGTAACAATAAAATTATGTTACTCATCCAAAAAAATCATATAAGTGATAACAATCATATGTTGAATAATACCTGACTTGTTGCTCGCATTGGAGTGACGTATGAATAACACCAGGATTGAAAATGTTTGTATGTAGTTGTTGCCCAAATGAATGAAGAGTTGGAGCATGAACAGGTGGGAGAGAAAGCACTGGAGCACTGGGCACATTATAAGTGTTGTGTAATGGTTGCCCTGCAAGTCAGAATTAAAATGTATAATTGTACATCTATTGACTTGACAGTAAACTAAAATTGAATAAAGTGTTTTATTACCTTTTTTTTGCCTACGTTTCCTTTTCTCCAAATAGCTTTTTATTCGAGCATTCGTTACTCCTTTTGCTTTCACATGTGAAGGATCCAGCACAATCATTTCCTCTAAATGTCCACCAATCTTCGTGAGATCACTAGAAGTATTGTCATTTTCTTTATTTGGATTGAAGGTTTCCATAAGTTTTTGTGCATCCTCCCACATTAATTGCACATGTTTCTTGGCCAAACTTTTTCCCTCAGCGGTCATAACCAAGTGATTGATAGCGCGATAAGATTTCTGAAGTAAGATGCTTCTTTCTAGAGTCAAAGATGATTTCTTATTTCTAGACGACCCACCAACTTCAAATGGAGGCTGTTTAGATTTCACATACTTTGTCCATCTTTCTAGAATATATTGAGATGGTATATCATGAATATTCCATAAATTGAAAACCTTCAGTGCATGCCGACACAACCACCCAGTAGACTCAAACAACTTACAAGAACACACTACATTAAAATTAGATGAATCAAAATTTATAATGTAATGCTTATCACCTCCCACAAAAGCACGATAAATGAAGATTGTAGAAAGATTTGATAACAACTCCAATTTCACTGCCAAACTAGAAAGCACCTCATCTTCAAATAAGTAATAAATATTATTTGTGTAAACACAAGTTGCTTGTTTCAGCATTTTGGAATCCTTCGCTTTCATTTGTATTATGCCATGCTTACTACGATAATCTTCATTAGCTTCAGCTAACCGCATCTTCTCACATTGTTCTTCATAATGTTGCACAAATTCCATTAAAGTCATAGCTTTAGAGGACATCTTTTGCAAAACATTGTTCATACTCTCACTTCTTTGAGTTGATTTAGCACGGAGAGTGAAAGTGTCAAGACTAAACGCCGGACACCACTTCTCTCTAAGTCCATAAAGTGACTTAAGCTATTTGTTGTCTGCAATGCCAAACTTCGTTATCATTAGACTCCATGTTGATTCAAAATCATCTATTGCTTCAGAATGTAGACACTTCTGAAACAAAGTTTTGAACTCGTAATTTCCATACAAGGTCCCAAGCTTTTGAGTGGCATTTTTTGAAATATGCCATGAACAAAGACGATGACAAGTGTTTGGAAAAACTTTTTTAATGGCATTTGCCATTGCTTGACATTGATCAGTAAATATTGTCTTGGGTGCCTTGTTATCCATCGCCTCTAAAAATTCCTCGAACAACCAAACAAAAGAATCTGTGGTCTCATCTACAAGAAATGCACAACCAAATAAAATATTCTTCCTATGATGATTAACTCCTACGAATGGAGCAAAAATCATATCATATCTGTTTGTTCGATACGTGGTATCAAAAACAACAACATCCCCAAAATAGTCATAGTCTAATCTCGATCTTCCATCTCTCCAAAAAAAATTTGCCAAACGACCTTCTGCATCTAATTCCTCACTGTGAAAGAATATATGGTCTTCAGCTCGACATTGCTTAAAGTTTTTTATTACGCTTTGTGCATCTCCTCTTTGAATCAAACTTTTCTTTTTCTCATTAACAAAATTTTGACAATCTCTTAAAGTGAACCCGACATTTTCAGATCCACCAACTTCTTTCGAAAGATATGAGTAAGCTTTTGTCCCTTTTATACCAGCACCAACCATAGAATTTAGAACACTTGCACTAGCTGAATCTATGTTTCTGCTTATTCTTAAAAACTGTCTTTCTTCTTGATCAACAAAGTTATGGTTGTGTTCATCATTGATATAACTAATTTCCCAAATTCCTTCTGCAATTACAAATTTAATTAGAGCTTTACAACCTGTTCGGGTCACTAGTCTTCTTATTTTTTTCGGATTAAAAGGATCACCATCGCGATATTGTCCTGCATTTGCACATAAGAACTCCCGTTGTTTAATAACTCCACCACTAGTATACCGAAAGTTTCCTTTTCGAACACCAAAACCCTTTCGCAGGGCATACTTACAATATAACTTATATGCTTCATCTTCACTAGAAACCCTCATTCCAATTTTAAGATCATCAATATCATCATCCAAAGATTCCATTTAATAAATTAGGTATGATAACACACCTGTAAACCAAATACATTATAAACCAACGAAAAATAATGTTACAAACATAATACTTGTACTTTATTTTTTCTTTATTATACACTGATTGTGAATTTGTTAAAATTATATGTCTAGGTTCTTACTGGTGGTTGAGGAGATGTTTCGGATGAGAACAACAATGAGTTTTCTACTCTAGTGTTGTTGAAGTCTCAAAAAGAAGAAGCTGAAAAAGAAAAAAAAAAAGTTGCCTTCTATTCAATTAGAGCCAAAACCGCATTGAACTCTTATACTCTATTCTCTTAATCATTTATGTAAGGATAATAATCCAGAGATTGTCTGTTTAGTGGAGCCAATGGTTGAAGTCACCAAAAGCTATAGATACCAAATGCAAGAACGAAATACAATAGGAACATTTTGGCTATATTAACCTACAGTTACTGAACGAAAACCCAAGTAAAGGTCAAATCCAATGTTCCTAATGACATTATCCGGATTTCGGTTTACACAAGATTCCAATAATTATCAGATAAATTATATATAACTTATTAAATAATGAATATCACAACTGATTCCAATGTGAAACAGAAATTTAACACATATAGAATCACAGATGAATCTAATTGTGAGACTAGATGATGTGGGTTGGTTCCAGTCATTTTGTTGAGATTTGGGCGTAGAGGTTCATTTTGTTTGATTGCAATTTATACAACAATCAACCATTTTAGTATCTATTTGTAGAAGATTATAGGTCGTGTAATCTTTTTGTTATTGTCAAATGATATGAAAAATATAAAACATCATTAAGGGTGGTATTCTATTCAATAAGAAAATGACACATAAAAAAGGGAATTGACTTACCTGTGAACTCCAGAAGATTTATGGAAACTTTAATATTCTTTGGAAGATCTTGGAAGATATAGTACAATTCTGTGATTGACAACCTCTGGTATAAAGAGATAGATGAAGATATAATTTGTTTTTAAAGGAAGTGGGGTTTGGAGATAACATTGTTTCCAAAAAAGGAAAATGAGAAAAGATGTGCAAATTGACACATAAAAAAAGGGAATTGACTTACCTTTGCACTCCAAAAGATCAGTGGAAGCTTTTTTGGAAGATTTTGTACAGTTCGGTGACTGAAGGCTTTTGGTAGAAAGAGACAGATGCAAATATAATTTGGTCTTAAAGAAAGTGAGTTAGAGGTTTGGAGATAATATTGTTTCCAAAAAAAGAAAATGAGAAAAAGATTGCAACAATTTAGGCGGGATTATGTGAAAGAAGAATTTGGGTTTCGCGGGATAACAAAATAAATTTTGATGGTGTTTGTGTTTGCTGGAAGTGAAAGGAGACGGAGTTAACTTTTTGATAGTTAACTTTATGTTATGAGCTGACGTGGAAAGTTGGAAAAGTGTCATGCTTTTATTGGATGGGGATAGCATGTTGGCATGCTGACGGGGTAACCTTGGGGTACCCAATATTCTCTCCTCTTTTTCCAAGCCAACTGGGATATTGTCAAAATTGATCTGTTAAAGGGCTTCAATTCTTTCCTCCATGGGGGCCTTTTGCCTACTAGTCTCAATGCAACAAATCTTGTTCTAATTCCAAAAGTCAAACATCCTACCATTAGGTCTAACTTTCGGCCAATAGCCTTATGCAATGTGTTTTCGAAAACCCTTGCTAACATACTTGAGTCACTTCTTCCTCTTCTTATTAACAAAGCCCAAAGTGCTTTCGTACCGAATCGTCTTATTCATGGCAATATTGTTATTGCGCATGACCTCCTTCATGTCCTCGAGTTAAAGAAATCCGGGGATTCTTGTTTTATGGCTGTTAAACTTGACATGTCAAAGGCGTATGATAGGGTGAGCTAGAGCTTCTTACGCCATTTCATGACCGTTTTGGGGTTTGTTAAGCCTTGGGTTAGTTTGATGATGGAGTGTATTTATACGGTTTCTTTTTCCGTAATGTTGAACGGTGAAGGTGGTGAATCTTTTGTTCCTTTTAAAGGTCTTCGTCAGGGAGACCCGTTCTCACCTTACTTGTTTCTTTTCTACACAGAGGGTTTGTCTATTTTATTTCAGGAATATGGCAGACGCAATCATCTTTTTGGTCTAAAAATGGCTCTGGGTTGTCCTCCTATTTCTCATCTTCTTTTTGTTGATGACATCCTTCTCTTTCGTAAAGCCAAAGATCCAGAAGTGCGGAGTGTTAAAATTCTTCTTGATAGATATAAGCCTTTAACAGAGCAATTGGTTAATTTTGATAAATCCAGCATTTACTTCTCTCCTAATACTTCTCATGAACAAAAGGATTTCTGTCGAAGATCTTTGGGGATTCATAAGATTGATTGGCATAGTACTTATCTCGAGTTTCCTTCATTCTTGGCAGGTCAAAGGTGGCGTCTCTTCAGTTCATCTCGGATGGAGTTTCAGCAAAATCAGAACTTCTCAAAGGTAATCTTTTATCTAAGGCTGGTAGGGAGGTAATGCTAAAGGCGGTGTTATCTTCTCTTCCAACTTACAGCATACACTGTCTCAAACTTCCCAAGACAATTTGCAAAAAATTAACAAGCCAATTTACTAACTTTTGGTGGAGTGGTGAGGAGCGATCAAACAAGATTAAATGGATCAATTGGGACACTTTGTGTTTGTCTAAAAGAAATGGTGGTCTGGGTTTTAAAAATGTAGAGGCTGTTAATTTGGCTTTGCTAGCAAAAATGTTGTAGCGTATGGAAATTGGAGATGATTCCCTCCTCTTTAAATCCTTCAAATAGAAATATTTCAAAAATTGTGCTTTTGTGGATGCCATAACAAAGGCTAGGGCCTCTTGGGCCTGGAAGAGTATCATTTCTGCTAGGGAAGTTATTAAAAAAGGGATGAAATGGCTTATTGGGGACGATTCGTTAGTTAACTATTGGACGGATAATTGGCTCCCTGATGTCTCCAATCACTCTATCACTTCCAAACCTCTTGGTGCCTCCTTTTCATCTGTAGCAGATTTAATTATCCACTATTCTCGTTCATGGAATCATGACCGGGTGTTACAATTTTTTAACCCGAGAGATCAAGATCTTATCTTTTAAATTCCTATTAGCTCTATGGGTGGTGTGGATAGTAAAGTTTGGGGTGCTTCATTAGATGGTGCTTTCTCGGTTAAAAGTGCCTACCATGTGGCTCTACAGGTCCTAAACCAAAATCTGTTTTGCTCCCAATTGCTTGTAGTAGTTTTGACGCCTAGAAATCTTCCATGTGGAAAGTTGTTTGGTCCATTCCGACTTACAGGAAGATTCAGTTGTTTCTTTGGCAGAGTCTCCATGATCGGTTACCCGTTAATCAGCTGCTGTTTGTTCGTGGCTGTTCGAAGGTGTTCTTTTGTCCCTTTTGCGAGGATCAAGTTGAAACTATTGATCATCTTCTTTGCACGTGTCCTTTTGCTTGTATGGTCTGGTTGCTTAGTCCTCTTAGGTTGGATTTTAGGGGTTCTCTACCTTTCTTTTGGCCTAAAAGATGGGTTGCTCTTACTGAAGGCTGGAAGTTGTCTGCTCATCCAATGGAGTTATACAGTCTAACAGCGTTTATATATTGGACTCTCTGGAAGTGCAAAAATGATCTATCCTTCCAACATAAGCGATGGGATCCAAGAGATGCAGCTAAAAAGGCCCTCCAAGCCTTTAATGAATTTCAGGAAATCAATAGGCACCATAGTTTACTTTCAATTCCTCCTCCTTTGGTTGTTATTTTGTAACGACCCACTCCACCACATGGTATGATATTGTCCGCTTTAGGCCTGAGCCCGCACGGTTTTGCTCTTGTTAAGGAATATTGTGATGACCCTATGGGCGGGTGTGCCGTGGGCGGGTGCGAGAGACACTATCAGGCTACCACACTAGCGAGCTACGGGTGCACAAGTCCCATGTCGCCTGGGTAGAGGAAAAGTGAAGTGCTTATATGTAAGTGTGTCATCTCCAATTGGTATGAGGCATTTTGGGTTGAAGCTCAAGAGCAAAACCGTGAGAGCTCAGGCCTAAAGCGGACAATATCATATCATGTGTTAGATTGGGTCATTACAATTACGGCATAATTTTCTTCTACTTAATTACTTCTATGAATTTAGTTGTTGTTCTTGCAAGATTCTTGAATTTTAGTTGGCCTATTCATGAATTGTTGGGTCACTGTGACTTGGTTATAAGTCTTAGGGACCTTAGCTATGGAGTTTTAAGGGAATGTAGAACCGGAGGTTGGTGAAGAAGCTAACAGGGATGTACAGGCCTTCAAGTCGGTTTCGCTGACTTAGTGATGTCGGGTAGTATTTCCTTTGGGCATTTAACAGTGGGTGTATATTTAAGTTTCTGGATGTATTAAATTATTATATGTTAGTTGGTTGTTTTATTTATTTATGATTATTATTATTATTATATTTTTTTCGTGGGATTTGGACTTACAGCATTTAACTTTGGGGAAATAAGTTGATAGATCTCATTAAATTGTTATATGCTAGGGTGGGATGTAGGATAAGTTTTACTTGGTATGTAAGTTGCTAGTTTTGATTTTCGTCGTAACATTTATTACAGATAATAGTATGACAGATTAATGGAATCCTACTTAAGTTGCAAATTATGTAGATAATCATTATCAAATACTATAAGGATGCATTATTTATTGTAGAGATTATTATGTGGTATTAATCTTGCATGCGTTAGGGAATATAACCTTTCTTGCACTACCAATTATTTTTTCGTATATCACTGTTAGAAGTTTACAAGTTATGTCTATGATTTTCGGAGGGATGTATGTTAATTATCATGTATATATGCTGGTAGTTAAGGTTTTACTCACATAATATTTGTTAGGGGTGAGCAAATAATCGGTCAATCCGATCCGAACCAATCCTATCCGTGTGGTTCGGTTCGGTTTTCAGATCTCATGATTCGGTGATGGTTTGAAAAATCTACAATCCGGTGTCCGCGGTTCGGTTAACGGATTGGACCTTGAAAAATT